ATTTAACATTTTGATGATTATATTATTGGTAAAGAGTAGTGCACAAAATTAATATTAAAATTTATTTATCTAATTCTAACAAACTAACATATCTTCGTTTTATAAATAATAAGTAAGAAACATACTAATAGATCATAATGTACAAACTGATTTGTATTATTTGTTTTTTTGTTGCTTTCAGTACAACTTAATGAATGCTAGTGAGAGGTTTATTTTCCACATGAAGGGTAATAGGCGTAAGTAACAGCTGAATGGATTATAATATGAAAAGTGTTTATATAATAGAAGGCTAACATTAGTTAAAAGAAACCTACGAACTTACACTTTATAGTGACTGATACATACTAACAATTCTTCAGTCACATAAAATCTAACGTTAAAAGCAGAATTGAATGTGTATTACCTCAAGTGTTTAATCATGATGATTTCAAATTGGTGGAATAGTGTTTTTAGAAAAAATCACTTATTTTATCATCGATAAGCTAAGGAAATGAAGAACAACCATACTGAAAGTTGTGAACAAAATTTATACAAACCTAAATGAATTCAGTAAAAGGTTCACTTACGACTTCATTCTGTTATACTGATTTCTTCCATACTTAATATGAGTATCCGACTAAAGAATCAACCACAACTATATATTAACTTTACAGATGTTTCACTAGTTAATATAATGATCAGGCCGTGGGAAATTTAAAAGAAAGGTTTATACGTTTGAAAAATTTGTCTATTCTAATATACTTTCTCTTTTATTTACCTGAAACTCATTAATTTAAAACTATAGATATCAAATAAAAATTATGGTGAATGACAATTTTAAAAACAGTAAAATCCTTTTTATTCTATGTTCTGCGAATATGTTTATTACAATGAATTTACACTTGAACATCGATTTCTGTATCGATTGTAATGCTTTGTAAATATCAATCATACGCTCACATACGTTTTCATCATTTTAATTCTTTATGGTAATGCTACAACTGATCCAACTCACTAGTTTTGTTCTTCAAATAGAAATTTATGTTGTTTACCAATTGGTATCGATTACAATTAACTGGTACCAAGTATAAACTTTTTATTCCCGACAACAGAATAAATAAATTAGAGTCCCGAATGTAGGCGAGCAATTACTTTTTCACTTTCTGATGAAGGTTTCAATGGAGTTCTTCAAAATCACTTAACAGTTACTCGTTAGATGTTTTTCAATCAGCCAACAAACAATAATATATGGATTAGTTATTTGATTATAACATCGCAAAAATTGTTGTTTATTTAAAATGTCCTAAAATACCATATAAGACTAACAATTATTACACTATACATAAGTTTGATCTTGCTCAGTGAAAATCTAAATTCAGTTGAAATGTTTGCAAAGGCTTTTCAATTTAAAAAAATATCACTTGGTTATGACTGACTTAAGTAAAACTTTGTAACCTCTCTGAGGCTTTATTCAGTATTACTTATCGAGTAAATGATAAAAATTAAATTCCAATAATCAAAAACCTATATTTAATCTATCGAGACCAAAATTAACTCACTATACACACACGATTGAATTTTATATTTATTACTAACAACACCTACCATACCATTTGTCAGTCTAATGAAAAAACGATTAATTCATTTTTGCTTCATCTATGCGATTCTTGAAAAAAGTATTTGTATCTAAGTACTTAACTATTAGCAAAACGTTTTCATGGGCATAGATTATAATTCATTTTCCTAAAACATTTTTTAGACATACTTTAAATTCTCTTTTAATGCGTACTTACCATAAGCAATTACCTCCATCATTGCAATACATAAATAGAATTATGTAGAGGTGTGTTAAATGATCAATTTTAAGTAAATGAAAGAACATTAAAGCTGAGAAATAAATACTGAACTATTTTCTGATCAGTCATATTGATAATGAATTTCTTGAAAGACCTATTGAATCTAACCTCTGATTACTGAATAGGCGACTAAGAAACAAAGTGCGTTCTCTGAACAAACGACTGAAATTAAGTTACGAAACATCGGAAATACAATTTTCTACTTATCATAACATTACAAAAATATATTTATTATTAACTTTCAACCCATTTGGTATCGATACCTACTAACGAACTTAATCTTTTTTCGTTCCATTTATGAGTTGATTGAAACTGTATTAATTAAACTTTAGAAGTTGACATCAAAGACGATAAAATAGGAAGATATTTAAATTAGAAAATTTGGTATCGTATTGTTCATTGATGCTAAATGGAAAGCCAAGAACAGCCTTTCTACATTACTTTAATTTAAATAACGTTGTTCTTCATTACCATAGTGTTGTTTATAATTATTTTCTAGAAAACTGATTTTTGCTTCACTCAATATGTTTTAGTCATAACCTATTATAACCATGATTTTTTGTCAGTGTCTATAAACAAAGTGACGTAAGCAATTCATGGAATTGAGACTGATAAAAAGTATGGTGAACTAACTTTAAATTTTGATTAAATCACAATTCAGGTTTGATACAAGGTTGAGAAAAATGGTTATCGACAGCCAAACATACATTCTTAGGAAAGTCATTTAATTGACCTTAAGGTAGACTTAAGATTCTGTGTTAAAACTATCAGGAGGTTATTTGTAGGTCATTAGGAGCGGTTATTATGAACAAAATTGTCAATAAGTCTAAAAATAGTTGGGTGTCATGCTTAATCCATGTTGATAATTCATTATGTATATTATTCTAATAAGTATTTTGGATATATGATATGAGTTTTGTAATAATATGAACTATTTCTCTCTTATATAATGGCTTATTTACTGAATTAACCTTTGTTCATTTCTAACATAAAACATCATGATATTCAATTGTTTGATCAAACTAATCGAAATATTTTGCTTAAACAGACTGTGTCAAATACATCAAGTTGATCTTTGCATTACATTCTGTTTTGATTTATGAAGGATAAAATAACTAATCCGAGATTGTACTTCAAAAGGTTTTAAAGCGGAAAAGTTAGTTGTTAAATATTGTCAGTTAACACCGACTAATATAATCAGTCTAATTAATCTAGAATTTAACGTAACATTGCTTAAGCACAGAAACCATTGTAGCAAGTGTCATGACGGTGATGATTCACTGACTGTTTCTGTGCATTTTGTTTGCTGATTATTAAATAAAGTTGTTACTTATGTCCTAAGTAAATCTCACAATCTGTCTACGTCGACATAATACATGTGTCACTTTTTCAGGATCACAACAAACAAACGTTTATAGGTTTTGTGCGATGAATCTTAGGTTCTAAGAAGTTAATGTCATGACTTATTATAAATATTTCTTTTTTAAATGTATTTAAAATAGTCTATGTTTAGGTTAAATTAACCACAATAAAGAGAACCTCTTATTTTTAATGCGAATTTTGATTAGTTTTACTATGAGTTAATCATCAGATAGCGATTGATTACTTAATGACAATTAACATTCATGTTTTAAAGTGTTTAGTTCTGATTGCATCAGACTAATCTAAGAGTCGTGTAACCACTAATCTAAGTGATTTAGTTCCAAGTTAACAATATTTTCATGTCAAACGACTGTGAATTTTTTGTGTCGCCTAACCAGTCGCATGTGAACTACATATGTCAATGCGTGAATTATAATGTTGAATATTGATATGATGGAAAGAAAATTCAATTTTCGATTGATTTACTCATCATGAGTTTTGTTCAAGATTACTTCCGTTTCGATTCAATGTAATGATTACTCAATGTATTATTTATTTCCTTTTCTCGTATGATATTTTATTCTGTATAATATGCGATATTCTTCTATCCCATTGACATGAACTATGCTCATTATAGGATTTGTTATAACTCGAAGTATTTTTTCATGTATGTGATTGCATCCTAATTATTAAGGGAAATGGGTTTACAATCAATATATAAATGAGTGTATTTTCTACTAGAGTTGTTGTCGTCGTCATAGTGTTTTGGGTTATTAAATCATCACTTATACCAGTTTTTGCATTCTTACTTTCGCGTCGTGGGAATTGCAGAGGTCCCTCATTCCGAGTATAAGTTGTAGGCGTTTCCGACATAATAATCAACGACGACCAGATACAAAATGTAGCATTGAAAGAGCCAAGACAATAAGCATTCAAACGACAAGTTATAACAAATATAACCATATATAATGTCGACGATATATAAATGCTTCCGAATATTTGACATACTCGATGAAAGTTTATCAACAATAATAAAGTAAAAATTCAACTTTCTCCTAATTTGTTATTAAACATCGAAGTACCATACAAAGTAGCTTGCCTCTTAAGCCTTTGTACTCGATGCACATTTACTAAGCCTCAAAGTAACCACCATATATATCTATTTCTTAAAGAAGGGCTGCTCAATAGACAACGCATTTGTTTATTTCCAAAACGTAATTAACATTCTATGATTTTCTAATATCACATTTTAATATTTCATTTGTTACAAGGGTGTAATTCTACAGTGCTAGAAATAATGGCAGGTATTTGACCACACATGTTTAAAAGTAGCTAGTTTTTTGTTGACGATAACTAGTTCAGTTAAGTAGCTTGTTATTTAACGTTAATCATAGATACACATATATACGATTCGAGTTAGATTAAGCTTGTATCTACTGTTGATAAATAAACAACGTTTTCTTCTACCGTCCAACTGTTTACGAATGTCATGTTTGATAGAATGATTCGAGTGTAAATCTACTCGATAACCTAAAGCTATTGTGTTCACTATACAGTCAGAATATCCTGACTCTGATTACGGATGAAATAACAGATACGTAAATCAAACCAAGACAAAATAGCAACTTGATATTGATTTTTATTTTTGATAAATGATATCAGCCCATGACATCATGTATATCAGTATGGTGAAAAAGAATATCAATCGTAACAAAATGTAATCGTTTGATAGTTATTTTATGCATGAATAAATCGACTATAAAATATATTAAATAATTAACAATTATTCTTTGTATTGCTTACCTGTTGAATTTGTTGCCTCTTGTGATTTATCATAATCATTCAATGGTTGAGTATTAACTGAAATTTGTGATAATAAATTTGGTAATTTGTCTTTTGAAACAGTTTCAACTTCACTAACTTTTGAATATTCAAAAAGTGTATCATCTTCTTTATTAGTATCTAGTTGAGGTTCATCGGAATTTTTAACTGTTTTATCTTCTTGTTGTTGTTCTGTTGTCATTGTTAATGTTTGTGATACTTGTGTTGGTGATAATCTATAATATTTTTTATTGGGAAAAAGGATTTTAGGCACAACATGAATATTCATTGTTTTCAAACTATGATAAATAGTTAAAATAATAAATCAATTCTGTTCTATAATATTTGTTTACTAAATGCTATTTTAATTGTTTATTAAGTATATCTACAGTAATAATAACTTTATCCAAACTTCATTATTTAAATAGTCTTCATAATTATAACAATTTGATCATTTTACTTTTGTTCTAGTAGATGTACAGGTTTTATATTCCATTAGTTAAATGACTCATTTAGAAAATAAACCATTCGAGTATTATGCCTTTTGCTTTGAAGAGAATCGATTTTATGTACTTGATGGTATCCAATAGAATGTTAGAGAATTAAACACTATGTTATTCTTAGTCTGATCGGTCAACTACGGTCATGTTTTATACTCTTTATCTATCCATATATATATATATATATATATATATATATATATATATATATATATATATATATATATATATATATATATATATATATATATATAATTCAGTGGATTATTTCATATGCAAATTAGTTAAGAAACGCATAGAATTTAATTTTGAATGTATCTGTTTTCAGTGTATTTGCTAGTAACTCTACCTTTTGTTGCACAGTTATTTTATTTGATCAGTTAAATTAGATCTTAAATAGATTTATTGAACACATATGAATTGTTTTCATTTGACAGTGATTAAGAACAATTTAACTTAATGAACACATTAATTAAACTTGAAATATTTGATTTAAATAAAAGTTTGTGTAGAATAATAAAAGAAGGAAGAAAATTTTAAAGAAATATTGTTTAAGAATAAAATATCTTCCTTGTAATTATTTTATAAAATAGACGAATGTACCTGAAGTTTACCATGAATTTAAATTTGTAGCTTTCAAAGAACATTTATTTTTGAAGTATTTGACAATGAATTAATCATTTAACAAATTGATTTCATAAACTAAATATCATTTTATGAATAGTACTGATTTCATGTAGTAAATTAAAGTAAATAGGATATAGTGGGGGGTAAAAATGAATTATATTACTTTATTAATGAAAAGTTAATTTCATCATTTGAGATTTGTTTCTTACACTTCAATAGTCTATTTGCAAAATGATGAAATTTTTATGTAATTTACATAAAATAAGTACTAAATATATGAGTTAATGAACTTTTATATAATAGTTTATTTATCTTTATTGTACCTGTAAGTCATTAGTTACCAACGGGATGACTAAAATGGAAACCTAATTTTTTTTATTTATCAAGATACAAGAATGTAATAAATCGAAAATAAGTTCACAACATTTGTTAATTAATTAAATGTTGAATGAATCGATGCTCATTAAAGAAATATACAGAAACCTCCTAGTATTAGCTAATATCATGTAGGCTATATTTTAGAGATGTTCCAAATTATAGGTCAATTATTGATTTGCACACCACATTAAGCAATCGTACATTGTGTCACATCTTACTTCAGATCTTAGTTGGTTGGAAACAAATTGCAAGAAATTAAGATTTCGGATATCATACTAAATGGTAATTCTACAGGAGATATCTGTGATTTGAAGTACCTTGATGCACCAAATCCGATTTAACACCATTTTATTGAGTATTAAAACTTTATGTGTTGACTAACAAGAATTCACGTCCAATTTACAGTTGAAGGTCCGAGTCCTTGACTTAACATCAACTCCGAAATGCATTTTCATCCAAATGACGAATTTTAAATAAGAAGGAATGCACTGATAGCCACTATTCAACTCTACTCAGTATCTTTATAACTTGATGTCAATACCGAAAGCGAACGCTTAGCATGCAAATATGCCAAAAAAGACTGATCGTTTCCAGTTCAAAACATCACTGCAAAAATTAAAACAACCAATACTTAAAAATTATAATTCGCTTTATTTCACAAGCCAGTGGCTATCTGGACTCAGTAGATAAGTGGGTAACGCTACTCCACACATCCAACTGATGGGTCTTAGAAAGGACGAAACACGCATACTCGGTATTCGGTCCAATTTTAATTAAGCAGCTATTTAAATGTCGTTTCTATGACCCGTTCCAATGATAGGTCTAACTTTGAAAAACATAGTCACTAGCTCTGTCTGCTTAATATACAATTGAGATCAACTTATAATTTTATGAAAAATTTGTTAGTATCCATCCTTTAGCTGATTATTTCTTAAATTTACCATGATGTAAAACTTGAATTCATCAGACAATGTAAACTAGACTGCCGTTAAAAACCTGGAAGCACTATATGGCCTTCTCGTCCTTGCACGGGTCTCCTCAGCACTGCGTATCCATGATACCTCACTTGGAACTCAAACCCAAGACCTTAGGTCTCGCGCACGAATGCCTCACCTCTAGATTACTGAACCATCATCTAACAATGTTAATATCTAACATCAATCGATAGATGATCTTGCGCAACGTCGCATCCGTTGTCTGAGGTGAATAACTATCCCACATCCAACACGGAAATATATAACAAGTGGATGTAAACTAAGAAATAATCGAAATTTGTTTATTTTAACAAATTTTCCCACTGTTTTAAACTTCTGAAGTACTGTTTTAATATTTAGTCATTATGAAAAGGATATTATCACACAAATTCATTCATGAAATAAGTGAACGTTTATAAATTTTACTTTATTATCATTATATTAATATTTCTACCAATTACACCTAAGCATAAATTAATCTTTAATCATGTAATAAGATTTCATTTTTAAAAACAAACATATTTTCCCTGGAAACATTGCATATAACTGAAAAAATCACTTTTATATTTTCAACAAGATAAATGATAGCAATATTTAACCATATCTTTAATAACCAATTTATATAATCCAACAATCAAATGATTTTCAAATGTATAATTATATAGTTTAACAAGTTAGTATTATATAATGAAATGTCATTTATAACATAACAGAATAGATTTAAAAGAATAAGTAAACTAGAAATATTCTATTCATTTATAAAAAAATAAAGAAAAAAAGAGAAAAGAAAGCAATTTGTCAAATGTAATTACTGTCTCGTTAAAACAAACGAAAGATTCATATGAATTCAATTAAATGGTTGATTATGATTGCTTCTTGTTAAAAATTTATATAACTTGATTATTATTTCAATTGAATAACATGTGATAATTTTGTTGTCATGAAATGTTTTACAGAAAAATACAGAAAATGTAGCAAAACATTCGAATTCATACATTGATAATGAAGAAAATCAATGAATTGTGGATAGTTTAGTATCAATGATGTTATTTCAACACAAAATGATTTGAATTACACATTTTAAGGGAGAGGAAAGTGAGTGAGTGAATAATATAAAGTTAATCTAGAAATCCATTCACAGAGTATGAAACAGTATCGAATGTAACTTGATCAAGTTCTGTTTACGTTTGTTTTATTTAAGGTAAAGTTTATTGATCTAAAATATAGTTGTCAGACTTAATAAACAGTGAATAGTACGTGAAAATACTTTTGTAAGCATATAATGAAATAATGAACGCTTTCGAAAGATTTAACGAATTTTATAACCTTAGCCATTGTTAAACACTGTAATCAAAGTATGCAAGAACTGTGTGTTCATTTCCTACTAGCGTCTATCGTTTATGTTTGCCTTAGATATTGGAATTAAATTTTTTACATTTACAAAGTAGCTTCACAAGCAGGTTCACAACAACCACATTATTCTATTCTTTACAAATCCTTCAATTACGATACATATTTATTTAAAAACACGACGTTTAGCAAAGAAATCTATTTTCGACAAATTTGTTATCGAATTGCACAATCGTATATATATATATATGTATGTGAAAATACGGAATTATAAAAGTATTAATACCGTGAGGACATGAAAAAGAGGAGTGGTGAATTCTTATACAGTAAACAAACAAAACGTATGTAGCAATGAACGGATTGATAATGAACTTGGATTCCTCCAGAAAAACATTGCCTGAAAGCGGTTACCCAAGCCGCTCCACAATGACGAACATAAAAGGAATTTGGAAAAAGAAATCCATTAGGTCCGTTTCTCTCTTCTGATGTATATACAAACCAGTTAAGGGTATCGATAAAATGAACGTTTTCTACAGTAAAACTGTGAATAACGTTTACTGGTAGAAACTTGTTTTCTGTATCCGTAAAGCCTAAGCTTCCTCGTCGAACCACTACTATGTACATATACCGATTCAACCGCTCTTGTGTAGCAAGACACATAGACCCTAACTGGAGCTTGATTTCAACTATAATACAAGAACATGTCTAAGTGTGATGCTACAATAGTGAGAGGACAGCAGTCAGAAGCTCCATTCTTCAACATTTAATTGATTTCAGTCAAACCACTTATCTACAAGTTGCTTTTAAGGTTGTTTATAAAATTTATTCAAATTTACCTAGATATCTTTGCATCCAACTCATTAAAACAAATATGACTCTAACCATCCCTGAGATTGACCAATAACTGTGCATACAAATAAATTACATCTTATCCCTATCTTTACCATGGTCTTAAACTGTTATTATTATTTTTCATATTCGATAAAGTCCCCATTTCTCTTTAATTATTTTTTTCATATACTCATAATTTTAATCACCACTGTTTCTGACACTACGTCATTCCATTTCGCTCCACTATTACATGTAATTATTGTAACAAAACATTTTAATTATTTTTCTCCATTCGCATTATAATCCATTGCCAACTTATTAATTTTACAAGACTTTTGTCTGTGCATACACACACATCATCATTTATCATTCCATATATATGTGATTGCGCAGTTTGGAAATAAATTCTCTGGAAAAAGATCGCTTCTCTGAAATTCATGTTTCTAATGTTTAAATGGGAATCGTATGTATATTTATTTCATTAATAAAGAACTAATTTTAAAATGTTATAACAATGACCTAATAAAGTTATTTTAAGTTATTTTAAAAATATACTGGTCAGATTATTGTCAGATT